GGCTCTTCGTCAGATATGGAGGTTTGAAATCCCTTTCTCTGCTTCCTCTCTCTCGCCTCCGGCGGGCGCTAGCGCTTTCTCTGGCTCCGGCGTTGGTGCGTGTTGGTGGCCAGTTAGGTGACCGGGGGAAACCTTGGCCGGTCCGACTGGCCCGGCAGTGGCAACACCCAAAGGCGCTGCTTTCCTCCATGGGGGCGCACCCGAGGTCCCCTGCTCTCCACCCCGGCCCCTTGCCCGGGTGAAAACCCTTTATCCACTACGGATTTGGCGGCGGTGCCTTGCGCGTTGTGACCTTGCTGGGGGCATCGTCAGGGAGGCTGGATGTGGTCGGGAGGTTCTGTAGGTGAGGGATTGAGCTGCCTCCTCTTCGTCGTTCGATTCCATGAAGTCTGTCTCCAACTAGTTGGGCATGGTCTGTGGTGGAGCGTCCGGTTAGGGATATCCCAAATCGAAGTGGTCGCTCTAGGTCCACCTTTCGATGTGAGGGCGACATTTTTTCAGCTCTAGGGTGAGCTTCTCGAAATCCCGACGGTGCGGCGCCTACGAGCCATGGCGAGGGGGTAGGGTCCCTCTTCGATGGCAGAGAAGGAAGTCATTGCTCCCCTTCTTCTCTAGGTGTTCCTGGAGCATGGCCATCTTTGAAGGTCGGCTATGCCCTGCTCTGCTGCTCCGCTCTGCTACATATGATCCTAGTGTGGAGTGCTCGGCCTTTGCAAGCTGTAATCTTAGTTTCCATGTCATTAGCTGCTTGTGGAGGTTGTAGTCAGTGTTTCAGTCCAGTGTTCCCCATTGTATCATTCTGACTATTGTAATTTGAGTTGTTTGTTGTAACTCCTGGCCGGTTGATGGCTTTGTTAATTCAAAGCCGGGCTATTTCGCGAGCCTTAGTTCTAAATAGAAAAACGAAACTTGTGTTGCCCACCTGCCTTTCTATTATCCACCATTGGCATGGCGCATTGCAGCATGTGCGCTTGCTTGCTTGTATATATGATTTGCCGCTTGGATTCCATCGCACCATAAAAACTGAGAGCTCAAAGGGAGAAGAGAAATCCAAGGACGTATAAAGATTAGTTGAGTGAGGAGCTAGCTTGAGCTGAGATGAGCGCAGCTCGGCCGGCACATTGACATCACATTTCGACGCGCTCCAGGATGCCTAGGCCACTCCTGGCTGTCAACGTCGCCGCCCTTGCGCTCGTGCTCATGCTCGCCGGTGCCCATAGCTTCCAGATCGAGGAGGCGACCGTGGCCAGCATCCAGCTTGGCTTCAACAACGGGAGCCAAACCTCGGTTGAACTCGTCCGGTTCTACCTTGACTGGATCAGCCGCCTGAACCCGCTGTTGCAGGCCATCATCGAGGTCAACCCGGAAGCTTCAGGTGAACTCATTGCCTTGCCCATTCCAGGTGAACTCTATGAACCTAGTTGTCAGCTTCACCGCAACGCCTTGGAGAGCATCTTCCAGAAGTCTCAGCCAAATGCTGAGCATGATGAAGCCACTGCCACGCTACGCTGAATATCCAAAGGAATTCTTTGTGGAAGACCTAGAGTATCTGCCCCGCACTATTTACCATATCATCAGGTGAACTCTATGGCCTGTCAAAAGACATTCTCCTGCAGCGAAGCTTGAAGGAGCAATGAAGACATTGGTTTTCTATATCTTCAATGGCATCAGCTTCAATGCTCAAGACTTCTTCATCAGGCAATTGGCTGCATCTGGCTCTGATTTATTTGGTCTGAAGTTTTATGCTCCATGGGTAATACGCCTCATCAAGCTTCACTCGGCTATCAACTATCAGCCCTCTGCGCGCAACCACATAATCTTCTTACCAGAAGTTGATATGTCTGTCGAAGCCATATACCCAAAGCCTGCCAAGGAGCCAATTTATCTTCACAATGTTGATCGTCAAAGTTTCACTCAACCCATTGAAGGAGTTCTTGCTGCAACGCGTGTTTATTCTTTGGCTCGACATACATGTGCACCTCATCGTGCCCATACTGAAGCCACTGAAAGCACAATTGCTCAAAGGCCTCGAAAGCTTTCTCGTGTTCTCAATGACCGAGAGCTTCTCGTCGCCCTGCATCAAAAACAGGATAAGCATCATTACTGGCTGAAGCGTCAGATGCAAAGCCTCTTGGTGGATGTTAATCACATTCGCAATCTTGCCACCAAGAATGCATTTGTCACTCATGAAACCTGTCGGCGGTCGTGGAAGAGTCTGACATTGATGAGCTCTAAAGATGATCTTCAACAAGATGGCTTCATAGAGAGATTCAAATTTGATTCCACTCCTCCCAGGAATGCTGTCTTGCGTTGGACTCCCTCACTCGAAGACTTTGACTACTCCTCCTCAGCGGCAACTGTCAATGCAAGAGTCATCAATGATGAAGATGATGCTACTTCGCCAACTACAACATCGCCACGTATTGGCACTGCACCAAGTTCTTCTGCACCACCAAACCTCAACGACGTCCCTGCTGCTTCACCTACTCCTCATGGGGATGAGTAGACGCTTTATGTCTTCAAACCTTTTTGGTCCTTACTGACGAAAGGTGGAGAAGCATATGAGTTGACAGTCTTCAAGCGGGTCTTTATGGGTGGTTGCTATATTTTTTGCCAAGTGTTTACAACTTTCGCTTTTGATACTTTTGGTTCTTTGAGTTGTAACACTTAAACTTGATGGTCGTCTGCTACCTTTCTGTCAACTATGTGATGCGATGATAAATCATGAACGAAGTCATTCTGCAGACGTCCATTTTCTATTATGCATGTCATTACCTTCTCTATATCCTTTCATCCATGATCAATTGTCTTCATTAGTTGAAGAGGATCTCCACAAGTAAAACCTCCCATGTGCATTTGCATTCAAACGCAAATTACTTATGTGCACATCTTCAGGGGGATCCTTTTGCTACTTATGAAGACAATGTCTTAACCCTTACAATTTCACATACTTTTATCCTCATTGAAAATTTCAACTAGTTTGTCATCAATCGCCAAAAAGGGGGAGATTGTAAGTGCATCTAGTGCCACCCCTAGTTGATTTTGGAGTATTGACGACAAACCTGATTGAGGGACTAATGTGTTTGTGAGAATTGTAGGATAACACAGGTAGTAGTCCCTCATTGATTCGGTTTACCTACCGGAGATGACCCCTAAAAATGTGTGAACACATTGAAGACAATGGTGGTATGTGAAGATATTCACAACGAAGATTATGACTCGAGAAGACATTCACGTGAAGACTATGGAGTGCGAAGACATAGCTGTTTCGTAGTTTCCTTTTCTTCTTTGTTGAGTCATAAGAACCATTGTACTGTTAAGTGGGGTCCAAGTGAACAAAGCCAGAGTGACTGAAGTGATGCTCAACCAAATCCTAAGTCTTCGAGCAAAGACAACAAGATCAAATCTTATCCAGAGTTGGATGAGTCAGCTTTACTTGTAGCCCAAGTTAAGCTGCCGCGTGTGTTTGAAATCTGACCGTTGAAACACGTGTCAGTTCCTTAGTGACCAAGGGTCATTTCGGACAAATCAGGTCGGGTTGCTCAGAGTTAGTGTACGGCTTTTGTCGCTTGAGAGCAATCAACCTCCGAAGCATTCGAGAGAGAGATCCTTGCGAGGACAAAGCCCAAAACACCCTGATCCCAAAGAGTGTTTGGCATCACTGAAGTCTTTCTGTTCGCGTGATCTGAAGACTTGTTACACTTGAGGACTGTGAATCCTCCAGCCGGTTAGGCGTCGCGTTCTGAGCATCCAAGAGTCATTGTGGATTGCCGGTGAACGAAATCTGTGAAGGTTCAAAAGTCTACCTTGAAGACTTACCAGAGTGATTGGGCGAGGACTAAGTGTCCTTAGTTCAAGGGGAGTAAGGTGAAGACGCGGTCTTCTGAGTTGAATCTCAGCCTCCCTAAGCAGACGTACAGTTGTCACAGCAACTGGAACTGTTCCAACAAATTCTTGTCCTCACCAAGCGACTGGTTCTATCTTCTCCCTCTCTTTACTTACAGTTTGTCTTCGCGAAGTCACTGCCTGCTTGCATTATCTGTTTGACTTCACTGTGTGACGACTATTGTTTTTTGGTTTCATACTATCTTCCATCCTGATCCATACTACCTAGCTGCTTTTAGTCTTCGTGCTTTCACTTCATTGAATACTTGACTATGGCTTGCCTAGTGTAGTCTACCTTCCGCTGCATGTCAATAGGCTCAATTCTATTATTTGTCTTTGAAACTCCCATGTCTTGAAGACTTCCATAAAAATTACCTATTCACCCCCTTTCTAGTCGATAACTAGCACTTTCACTCTCAACACCACGGCCGGCTCGCTGGCGCCGTGGTGCTCGGCAAGGCCAGCCTCTCTGAGTGGGCCAACTTCCGCAATGTCAAGAATGGGTGGAGCGCGCGCGGCAGCCAGACGCGCAACCCATACGTGTTGTCGTCCGACCCGTGCAGGTCGAGCTCCGGGTCGAGCGTAGCCGCGGCGGCGAACATGGAGGCTCTGACGCTCGGCACCGAGACCGACGGCTCCATACTCTGCCCGTCGTCGTTCAACTCCGTGGTCGGCATCAAGCCCACCGTCGGGCTCACCAGCCGCGCCGGCGTCGTCCTCATCACCCCTAGACGTTTTGTCCCCATCATTGATCTTTGAACTTTAGGTAGCACAAAAATCTTGGACCTCACTCACTTAGTATAAAATTTCAATTAAATTTACTCAACTTGAATTTAGTTTGCATTTAGGTATTTTGAGAATTTGAAAAAAACTCTGGAAATTTGAAATGTTCAGCATGCTATTTGCAGACCGATGTGTCGGAGAGTGTCGGATGCAGTCCATGTACTGGACGCCTTCATCGGCTACGACAAGCTCGATGCCGTGGCCACTCGAGCAGCATCCAAGTACATCCCTCATGGTGGATATCTGCAGTTCCTGAAGAAAGATGGGCTGAGAGGGAAGAGGATCGGCGTCCCAATGAATTGTTTTTGTTTCAAGGATTTGGAGAGAAGCAGATGAGGGTGTACGAACAGCACCTTGCCAGAATGAGGTTATCATACTTCAAATCTCCATGACTAGTGTAAATTATAGTACATGACATTGCATTGGTTATAAATTTCGTCGTAACCTTGCAAATGAAAAATTAATTTCGTTGTAGGAAACACGGAGCCGTGGTGATCGAGAACCTTGACATCGCCACCAACAGTCAAGATATTGTTTCCAATGAGGGGACTGCGATGCTGACCGAGTTCAAGTCGAGCATAAACGAGTACTTGGCGGACTTGTCCTACTCTCCGGTCCATTCTCTTGCGGACATCATAGCTTTCAACAAAGCGCGTCCTATAGAGGCAAACATATGAAAAAAACTCATTCTAGATTTCAACTCTTAAGTCTTCTTGTCATAGATTCAAACAATGTGGAATCATGTTGCAGAGGACAATAGGCAATAAAACTCTAAAAAGGAGATGGTTGCTAATGGTATTTATTCTATATATACTTTCTTAGATATTTCATTTACATTTTGTACATGAGAGGCTAAAAGATTTCGGGCAACAAAACCTTATCTTTGCCCAAAATACAAACGGCATTGACCGTCTGGAAAGAGCTCGGATCCGCTGGCTGAAGGAGCTCTCCGTGAATGGGTTGGAGAAGCTGATGAAGGAGCATCAACTGGACGCGATCGTTGCACCCGAGCACTATGCTTCCAACCATCTCGCCATTGGCGGCCACCCTGGCATCGTTGTGCCGGCTGGGTACAACGAGAAGGGTGTCCCTTTTGGCATATGCTTTGGCGGGCTGCAGGGATATGAGCCGAGGCTGATCGAGATGGCCTATGCTTTCGAGCAGGCTACTAAAGTGAGAAGGCCACCCATGTTCAAGCCTTAGCTAGGTGGCATAACTTTCTTGAGTAGCGACAATGTGAGGCACCATGGCCAAAAAGTCTCCACTTGCACTGTTCTCTCTTGGTGTAAAAGAATAAAGCTGAAATGTTACTTCTTGGGCCAACAAGGATTGTATGCAAGTGCTACTCCGAATAAATCGACAATGTGGTTCTAAAGGTGGAGAATTTCATTTGTATGTATTTTTCGATCTTGTTCTGTATATATTGTTGACACATAGTATGTTAGTTATGAAACTAAAATTCCATAAACGAGTACTTTTGCAGTACCACTCTGAAATGCTGCGGTGGGCTATGGATATCCGCCAAGGTGATCAAACTGGCCTATGCCTTCGAGCATACTACCAAAGTGAGAAGGACGTCAATGTTCAAGCCTTAGCTAGCCAGGCGGCACAATCTAAGTGAACTACATATAACTTCAAGGGTAGCGGCAATGTAACACTCTACGGCGCAAAGAGGTTTCATTTGCATTTCTTGCCGTACAATGCCAAAATCAAGTGTATTGCCATGAAATCGCCGCAACAGTTGAAGACACTGCATTTAATAAGATTTTACATTTTTCTGGTATATTTCGTTGAACATAAGTGGCATATAATTAGACTTATGTAAGCGAGTTCATTTACAGTACCCCGAAATGGATATAAATCGTCTATTTTAATCATTATAATTTCTCTATGTATCATTACCCCAAAAACTGTTCACAAAGTAGGATTTCATCCTCTTAACAGAGCTACACTGTTTCTGACGAAGTATATGAGAGGAAAAATAATACAAACGAAGAAAGCACACAAACAATACATAACAAAATGTAGTATTGAATGCCACCATTTCACAACCGAGCATGACCACATGAATAGCCGAACCAGAGCAAGAAGGACTCGTTGGCCCGAAGAAGAACCAAACAAAGCCTCCTGGAGAAATCACCGAAAAATCCGCAATGCCTTTTCAAATATATTTTCATGGTGACACGGCCTAGGGGTGCCGCACGACACCAGAAGTCAGCCCATCAGGACGTCCTAGGAACCCCAGGCTATTATACGGCCCCGTTTTCAAAGTGGCCTTTGGGCCCTCTAAAAGGAAGGAACCGATAAAGGAGGATATATCAGCCCCCAGTTTGATTTCATATGAAATTGATGACAACCCGATATAAAATCAGTTCAGTGGGAACTCTGCCCCCGGGTTTTCAGTCTCAACAAATCTGCCCATACTACCTTGCGTAGTCCTTATTACAGTTTCAGCATACAAAACTGCAACTGAGCAAAGAAACTTGAAAGCAGGCCATACTGCCAAGCCAACAACATGAATCCATCTGCAGAACGTAGTACATCCTACAATAGACTTCTAAGCTACATGGCGACATAGCTGGACATCATCATCATATTTTCTTTCTGAAGAAACTGCTTGCATGGATAGGAGGAAAGGCCTCCAGCCATTTTCCAACCTCAGCACCAGGGACAGAATGACTCTTGAAAAATAGGTAGAATCAACATGGCACTTAATGGAACTTGCTCTTTATGTACGCTCTTAGAAAATTTATTTACGTGTTGGTACAGGAGAGGTTGAAAGACTTTGGGTAGCCCGACCTTGTCGCAGCCCAAAACACAAACGGCATTGGCACCGTGGAGAGAGCCGCGATCCGGCGGCTGAAGGAGCTGAACGCGAATGGGCTGGAGATGCTGATGATGGAGCACCAACTGGACGCGATCGTGGCGCCTAACAGCGACATTTCTAGCCCCCTTGCCATCGGCGGCCACCCTGGCATCGTTGTGCCGGCTGGTTACGACAAGAAGGGGGTCCCCTTCGGGATATGTTTCGGCGGGCTGCAGGGGTACGAGCCGAGGCTGATCGAGATGGCCTATGATTTTGAGCAGGCTACCAAAGTTAGGAGGCAACCCATGTTCAAGCCCTAGCTAAATATAACTTCTTGAGTAGTGATGATTAACACTCTACGACCTTAAATAGGTTCCACTTGCGCTTTTCTCTCTTATTGTAAAAGAATAAACCTGACAGTGCATGTTACTTCTTGGGTCAGCAAGCAACTATGAATAAACTAGCAATGTGGTAGTGCTAAATGAAGGTAGAGACAACCCGAACCAATTAAAACCAGCAAGTATAGTTTCAGCATACAAAACTGCAACTCAGCAAAGAAACAAGCCAAAAGCAGGCCAAATCTCTCTTGCCTGCTAGTAATGCCGAGTAAGAGTCCTGACGCAAAAATGGGAAAAAACAGAGCACCACTCGTTGCGCCGCACTGCTCAACTCACTGCTACTCCGACAATATCATCATTACGCTGGACCACTCAATCACTGCTACTCCAGCGACAGCATCATCCTTCTTTTCCAGGTTAGATCAACATCAAAAGTGCCAACTTGATACCAGATCTAACTCCTCAAATTCTAATCTAAAATCGCAACTTCCGAAAGAAAACGAGATAACACAGATATTGGACGGGCCTCCTATACCTATGAATGCCTTATATTCTTGAAAGAGAATCTACACAAACAAAGTGGACCTGTTTGCCCGGGTGAAGAAGCAAACCGAGACTAGAGAGGTGTGTCCATCCCAAGCTCTGTCCTAAACTGCCCGCACCAACGAGCACCTGTAGATTACCAGAAGCGGGCATCGCTGATCGGGTGGGTGATTGGAGCACTGGACTTGGATGTGAAGCCTTCAAAGGTTGGTGTCAAAGCCCTCTTCCAACACCTCACAACCCTAATCAAGGAAGATAACACAAAATGAGTGGTGAGCCCACTTCATCAGTGTACAAACATGATTGAATTCATTAAATGTGAACAGAGTTCAGTGAGATTGTAGTGTACCAGATCAGAATAGTAGCTTGCCGATGAGACGCTGCTGGCACGTGGTGAGTTTGGTACCAGATCAGAATTGTAGTGTATAAACTTTTCACCGGAATGAGAGCGGACGGATTCTAAGGCTGGTCGTAATGGTAGTATCATAGCTAGTATCATGCATGCCAACTAGGCAATTTTGATGAGGTGGCATAGCATTAAATGAAGAAAGAGAGGGTGTAGTATCATATCATGATACCGTATTATATTAAATGATATGCTACTTTGTGTCATGCATGACAATAAATAGAGTACAACATGATACTAATATATGATACTATGCATTAGGGAGGTAGTATCATACACTAGTATCATATATGCATGATACTAGTATATGATACTCCCCATTACAACCAGCCTAAGCATCATAAATAAACCTCTCACCGAAACGAGCAGCGGCGCCAATGTCCTACTAGGGATGCTCACCGGCCACGGGGCATCGGGTCTGATTGTCGCCACCTCATTGATCCGTGGCACCGTGGTTTCCTCCTCCTCTCTACCACGTCTTCTAAGACCGTATCTATATATACTAGGAGTGGTCATGCGTCCGCGTGCGGGGTGCGCGTGTGACTTAGGACTTGGGCGACGGCGAGGAGAGGAGTTGAGTTGAGTTGGTTAGGTGGTGTCGCCGGCCACGACAAAGTAGGCGCGGATAGACACGTTGGGAGGCGAGGTGAGGTGCCGGCGGTGATGCATATGGTGTGGTCGTTTGAGCGCCGAGCGACCAAGACTCGGAGATGTGGAAGGAAGGAAGAAGGGAACATGGGACGGTGGATACGTACGTACGAACCAACGGCCTTGGTATCCATCTTGGTCTTGGTCGGCGGCGATGTCGACGTACGTACAGTTCTCCCATGGGTGGCGGGACTTGATTCGGAGTCGGGGATTTGGATTTGGTTGGGCGGACTGGAGAAGACGATGGCAGGGTGGTCACCTGCAGGCAGCACGCTCGCTCACCTCCTCAGGCCCACCAGTCAGCTAAATTGCATCCTCTCTCGCTGTTGCGCCGGCTTGCTCTGCCTCTGCATCATCTTCGCTCGGGCGTCAACGGATGCTCGGCTCCCAAGGAATCCCTCACCTTCCAGCAGCAGCGGGGAGAAGGATGGCACCCCATACGCCGCATTGGTCCGGTCGTACTACAGCAGAACGCCGCCCAGATCGGCGTCCGCGGGGACGTCGGCACGCTGGGTGTAACAGGAAAAAGGGATGCGCTGGGTTAAGCGTGTGCTGTCGACATCTCCGCGGAGGAAACGCGTTTTAACGAGCGCCTGAAGGAAGACGGTTCAACGCAAAATATGGGTCTCCTAGTTTGTACTACTCTTCGATCGTGAGAGTGGAAACGCTCTACCGCTTTCTTTCATTTCTAACTCAACATCTATCTATTATCTATCTATCTATCTATCTATTATTATTATTATATCAAAATTAACATACGTTGAATCAAAAGAAACGGAAATAGCAAAGAAAATCCCACATTAATAAAAAAATACCGACCCTTGATCTTGCTTTTTTGATAAAATATAATGATGTGTGAGGCCCTTACCCACGTCTATACCTTATTATGTTCACTGGCAGGACGTGCGCATCTTGCCGCCACGTGGCTTGATGGATGAGATTGGCACGTGTTGTCAGAGCGGGGCCAAGCCAAGCGTGGGAATACTTTGTGGCTAAGGATAAAGCCACGCGGGAAGATTTCCAATGTCCGAGCCGGCACAAGAATGACGAGGTAGTCATCGAACGAAAAGATAGGCGTAAAGACTACTTGGATGCACTTAGATGACCAAAGAGTCGGATGCGAGGAGATTCATTGAGCCAGTTTTCAAGACCGATAACTGAAAATGAATAACAACTTATAAAATCCGAAGAGCATCTCTAACTTGAAGACCGGTTCAGGGGTTAGGATCTTCAAGTTAACCATGGTTAATAATAGAGAGGGCCGGCTATATGGAGTTATCATATCACTTATAGTCAATCTAATAGTCCACGCATACAACATTAATATATGACCCACATATTTCTCTCGCAAAGATTTTTGGGGCTTGTGCCACAGCCGGCTGTAACCTTGTAGATCTCTTCTCTTCTCTCTCCTCTCCTCTCATCTCTGACTAGGCACAAATCTGAGGTGACATCTCTTATCGCCGGCATACGTCACTCTATTGTACTTGCTCTTAAAAGTTTGGAATCACCTCTAGATTTTCTCATCTTGATGACTGTGCCCATGAACCTAGGGGCATGCTATGAAATTGTGTCACTTAAGAACCCGCATCAGATGAGGAGAGATAAGATTTTTATGAGTGTCTAGACGTGACTTCTCGCTACTTATCGACTATGCCACGCTGGACTGTCTAATTCCTCGGCGTTGACTATCTTATCCCCATCCCCATGTGTCCGAACAACTTCCACGCTACCATCTTTGCAATGACAAAGGGTGCTATAAGTTCTTATCACTTTTTTGCTATGGAGGATTATTGGTCTCTTGAGTTAAATTATGCTGAAAATTAATCATGTATCCACCCATCCATGTATTACACACATCTCCAATACAATAATGAAATGAGTATTTTCACTGAAACTAGTTGCTCCTAAACTCCACGCCCCCAATGATGAGGCCTTTCTTCTGGACGCTGTCATTCTCCTCACGGAGATCCACGATCACCCCCCTCTCTGTGAGCATCTCGTCGTCGTTTTCGAACTCGGCCAGCCTGAGCTCCAGCCAGCCGTCGCCCCTCGCGTTGGGGTAGGTAACATCATTGGCTGACCCGCGCCCTTCGGGGTGGAGGCTGACCCCGCGGGTGCTGCCGGGGACGATCCTCTCGCCGTGGAGCCTGAGTGACGATGTCTGCACGGAGCCCCTCAGGCCATAGGTGGTTCTCGCCAGCTTGTACACGAGGTAAACTGCATAGCTTGTGCCGGCGGAGAGGTCCCTCGGCGGGATCTCTCCGATGACGGCGAGAAAGTACACACTCAGGAGTTCCGCGCATTCGGCAAACCTTTACATGATACAAATACCAAGAATTAGTTGGTCATGTGTCTATCAAGCCATCCCTGAAATTTCGTGGTTCGATTGTTTGGTGAGCAAACCTGGAAGTCGAATCTGGAGCAGGAATCCATTTCCAGTACTGGGGCTGATTGTTGGCAATCCGTAGTGATCTCGATGTGAGCACCCTGCACTTGGCGCTCGTTGTCATCTTCAACCGAGGGCTCTATGTTCACCAACCAAAACTCAAGTCATGATTAGCTAGTAGCATCGAAAATAGAACCTCTCATCTTGTTCTACGTGCACATAGCTTGTGCACGATAGGACAAATCTATTTGGCAGCAGTTGCTGATCCGATGCATGTGAAGGTTTAACCTTCCTTTTTGAAAAAAAAACACTGACTATACACAAATATATTTATAACAAACAAAATATAGACTCTGTTTTGTCTTTCATTTCCATATTTCAGCAGAACCTACCCTGTCCATATAATTTTTTCTATGACCACATCTTAATATATTTTCTGGTGGAATGAACCATTCTTTCAAGTGTTGCAAAAAATATTTTAAATGATACGTTATCAATGTTTTTAAATCACTTCTTGCAGTTCCTTCTCGAATTATTATGCCCATGGTTTGTTGAATTGGCGTCAATTGCACTGTTCTAACATAATTTTCTCAGAAAAAACGTATTGTTTCAAATATCTTAAGCAAACAGGCATCGACAAATTGTTTAAATTATACAGCTTCCTCATACAACTTGCTATGGTTAAATCCATATTCTATGGTTATTGTCAAATGTATTCTTCTATCCTATAACAAAATTTGTCCATTATAGATTGTCCTATTATGAAACTCTAAAGATGCTTCATAGCTATTGGGGTAATATATTTCGCCGGGTGCACCAAATGTACTCATTGATTTGATTTATTTCGTATGAGAAAATGAGATGAACGAAATAACAGAAGATATTGCTCCATAACTAAGCACACCTGGTTTATAGATGAAAATGACAACCCTTTGTCATATGTAAATCCACTGTCAATTTGATGCATAGCCTCTGTCTCATTCAGCTTACGGATAATATCCCCTATACTTGGCCTGTTGCTTCGATCAGCCTCCAAGCAACTTAAAGCTATTTCAACGCACCTCTTTACTTGTTTGGAATACGACTCTAACTCATAGTCTGATGTTGCATGTATCTTTTTTCTCCATTTCTCGAGCACCTGCAAGTTCGGAGCATAAAATGTTAATGGTAGTATATAGAAAAAAATAAATAATTATTTATTGAAAAATGTACAAATGGTCTTGATATATGCAACAGTATTCGTACATTCTTAGTTAATTGCTGGGAAGTCATTTCAGCTCTTCTGAAGTAGCCCTTAGGCCCTGTCACTATCTTTATGATCACAACACCTAAGCTGAATATGTCAGACTTGACTGAGATTATTTCACCATCAATGTATTCCGGCGGTAGGTATCCACTGCACAATATATACATGTATTTCACAATACCATGCGCATTAATACAAAATTTCGTGCTCGTTATGAAGTCACAAATACAAGAAAGATTAAGCTTACCGTGTTCCTATAATACTTTTTGTCCTTTGTGGTTTTTGACCCTCAAAGAACCGCGACAAGCCGAAATCTGCGATTTTCGGTACCATATTCTCATTCAGCAATATATTAGCTAGTTTTAAATCCAAGTGATACATTGGAGGTTCCAGTTCCTCGTGAAGGTATTTTAAACCATTGCAGATTCCCTTTATTATTGCATAACGTGTGGACCAATCATTTCCTTTCAATTTGTCTGCAACAACAGAATGTGAGTTTTCATCAAATGCTAATTTCAGAAAGGATTCCTTACCTTGCGAAATAATACAAGTAAAGTAGAGCATCATCATACCAGAAAGAAATGTTTCAAGGCTTCCATTATACATGTACTCCAAGCAAAGCGCCCTCTTTATCTGTTGAGCATGAACAACCTTTCCCTTGTACCTTATGTATTCTCGCCGGGTTTCGTGGCAATAGCCAACCAGTTGCACAATATTATGGTGCCGAAGAGATGCGAGATTGAGACACTCTGTGTCAAATTGATCATTGTTAAGTCCTATAATGTCATGGAGCATCTTGACAGCAATCTTCTTTCCATCCTTACTCTCACCCTATTCAGTACCATTATCAAATTATATTTAGTAATAGACTTAGTTAGTACACCCTCCGTCCCATAATATAAGAGCATTTTTGACACTACACTAGTGTCAAAAATGCTCTTATATTATGGGACGGAGGGAGTAGTATGTAGTATCAATTAAATGTTGTCAGTATTGATAGTCAAACATGAAAAAGATCGAGTAATGTGTAGATAGTCGTACCATATAAACTTCTCCATATGAGCCACTGCCTAATTTGCGGTATTCAGAGAAACTATCTGTCATTTCTTCCAATACATGAAATGACACAATCTCGGGGACCACACTCCCATGATCCATGTTATTTTCCTTCTAGTGAAAAGAGGAAGAACCTACTGGATGAGAGAGAGAGAGAGACATGATTAACTTCATGGCCATTTTAACTGCTCTTAATTACCCTTGAGATTGCATAGAATAGACCAGTCAAGCTAACTTGCAATCAATGCAGAAAAAAGACAACATACCAGAATTTTGTAAATTAAGCATGCGTGTATTTTTCAGAAACTTACCAAATAATTTTAGATTTGGCTAGGTAGTAAATTTAAGCTATGCCTACTCATGATGACAAAAGAGGATATGCATGCATGGATTGAACTAGCAGGATAATGAAGCAAAGCACTAACACAGCAAGAGAAGAACGAATGGAGCATTCATGCATGGCTCTAATTAACCAGCAGGATCCTTGGCTAAAGCAAGCGACAGTGGACTCAAGGCTGAGATGGGAGGGAGTTCAATGGAAAAATTTTGCACTAACCTGGAGAGAAGACCTGCAGCTGGAAACAATGGCGCTCCTCAAATTGGTGCTGTGTATATACTGTGGTTACTTCTTCATGAGCTTGCAGCTTAGTTGGTCCTCTGCTATATATAGACAGATAGATACCTGCCACGTGGCCCACGTGTACGTTAGATTGAGTTACATCGTAATCAAGCCGGTTTAAATAACTTTTTACGGATCGTCGTTGAGGCGGTCGATTCCGCAATCCATGCGCGTGCAGCTTGCTTCTTCAAGGCAGCTTCGGTTTGTGGTTAAGTCAAACTTAAGCCCAAGTACTCTTGATCAAGCCTTAATTCAGAAGCTTTGTTTAAGTCTTGTTGGCCAGAGATGTCGGCATCACATGATCCTTAGGCCAGTAGAGCCTTTTCTTTTATACTTATTTACTTTGTAGGAGCACAATAGTTGCATAGGAGATTCACACCATGTCAACATTGTTGTTCATTGATGGTAAGTTCCTATTACTCTATGTACATTCTCCTTAACCGAGTAGGCAATCGACGTTTACTCGTCCCCTTCCCAAGTCATCGTCCATGAACACACGGTTATTCCAGGTAACTTCTAGCCAGCTTCGATTCGGTTTGTGTATGGATTAGATTAAGCTTCTATATATTACTACTTCGACGTGGATTTATTTTCTAAGAGACACCTAATTCACACGGTTGGACAGAAATATCACTGATGTCATACATCCCATGCACAGGTTAGACAGAAACATCACTACTGTCATACATTGCAGACAACTCGAACTAAAGAACTATGTGTGAACAATCTTTGGAAGCAACCGTGTGAAACATTGCTGTACACGGTTTTAGATTTGCAGGCACGTCACACATGAGTAAAAATTGCAATCTCTCCCCCGGTTTGTTCATGCCGATACTGGGCGTCGCAGAGTTTCATGCGGAGCATAATAGCCATGATGAGGAGGGTTTAGGATATTTTTCCAAGGAAACCATTTCTACCTCTTGTGTATATGATATGTAAGAGAAGACCTGCAGCTGGAAACAATGGCCCACTTGATTGTGACGTGCCTGCAAATCTAGATGCCGACGTGTCCTGGTATGTTTCTTAGATGTGTCCATGTAATTAGGTTTGGAATACTACGCGAGAGACCTGTTTGCGCAGGAGTCGTTGGTCATGTTGAGTCCGATTAGGATTCTAGAGGGCTTGGTATCTGTAGGTTAGCTCCTATATATACCTGAAGCTGCCGTGAGATTTGCAACGTGGAGAAAACATAAAAGAAATATCCAAATAATAACGCCCACACGTGTGGCAGTTTTGCAACTTGCCCACACGCGTGGATCATCGTCCAGTCGAGTTTGCACGAATCTTAACATATTGAGTCAGATTTTGCGTGCCACGTAGGACGGGGCTGACGTGTGGGCGTTGGAGAGTTCGCCCACACGCCCCGCACCATGCGGTTTGCCAGCTGCTTTGTGTGGGTGAACTAGTTTCTGCCCACACAGCCATCACCTAGTCCACGCGCATGTGGGCGAACTGCTTTTCGCCCACACGAACTCGTACGTTGTTGGATGATAAATGCAGTTACGCGTACGTGGCAACTAGGTAAACACACATGGCAACTATGATTCGTGCTAGACGGCAAATGCAGTTGCGCATACGTGGCAACCAAATGAACACACATGGCAACTGTGATTAACCATACATGGCAACTATGGTTGGACAACACGTGGCAACTAGATAAACACACATGACAACTACTGTTTGACCATATATGACAAGTAGTTAATCACACACGGCAACTATGGTTTGATTACACGCGACAACTATCATAAATTAGACATGGCAACTATAGTTAACCAAAACAGATAAAGTTGCCATACTTCTACAACTATATTTGCCATCCCGGATAACTACGCCTGCCATCCCGGATGGCAACTAAATCGTCATGCATTCCGCGGGTACCTAACATAGCTGCGTCAGGATCGAACGTGTGGGCATTTTTGCTTCGTGCCACACACGCGTGGTGAAGATGAGTAGTACTTGTTGGGCGTGTGACACAAAGTAGCTGCGCCCACATGTGTGGGCAATTCTAATGTTCGCATCACACAACCCGTGTGGGTTGCCTCCTGCTCACGTCGCGCATGATGTGCGGTCGGATGTCTAATACGCCACACGTGTGGGCGCTATTAGTTTTTTTTGTGCGCGTACGTTCGTCTAGTTTGATGCGATTGATTCTGATGACGAAATTCCAACAACTGGTATCAAGCCAGTTTAAATAACTTTTGACCGATCGTCATTGATGCGGTCGATTCCGCAATCCATGCGCGTGCAGGTTGCTTCTTCTAGGCAGCTTCGGTCTGTGGATAAGTCAAACGTAAGCCCAAGTAGCACTATTGATCAAGACTTAATTCAGAAGCTTTTCTTTCGCGGGGTTTATTTCAGAAGCTTTGTTTAAGTCTTGTTGGCCAGAGATGTCGGCATCACATGATCCTTAGGCCAGTGGAGCCCTTTTCTAGTACTTATTTATTCACTTTGTTGGAGCACAATATAGTTGCATAAGAGATTTAAGTCAAGTCAACGTTGTTGTTCATTGATGGCAAGTTCCATTACTCTCCGTTCATTCACCTCAAACGGGTAAGTGACGTTTACTTGTCTCCTTCCCAAGTCATCACCCATGAACACCCGGTTTTTGCTCCGGCAGGTAACTTCTAGGCAGCTTCGATTCGGTTTGTGTATAAATTAGATTAAGCTTCTATACATTACTACTTCGATGTGGATTTATATGTGAAGTATTCGTACTTGCTCATTGTTTATGTATAATTTTATTTCAAAGCATGTATATATTCCTCATATATGCATGTAGTATATGCACATTTTTCATTCTGGGTTGGCTATCCGACCGTACAATGTATGAATATAGTATCATTTAGTATATGAATTCACACCCATCTACTATCCGCACCGTTCCTAAATCCATATAAAAATGTAGGAAACGGTTTTAAACATTATCCAACTGAATCCACTTTGGTTTCATCACCCTTGCACTATAGGTTCGACTTCATCCAATTTTCATCTCCACCAGATCGGCACCCCTGATGTGGTTGTTAAATACCTCCCACGTGTATCAAGTTGTTTGTCTCTAGCCTCAATCTTTGTTGAAAAGCCCGCGACAACGCCGAACCCCACTTGTCGATCATCTCCACAAGATCGATGATTACACGATGGGAGAGAACGCCTTTGCACCTCCTTGTTGTCCATGGACATCATTCTTGTCCATGGAGTGGTGGGGATATGTGGCGCATGATGGGTACATGGCTCTAACGGTCCGTTACTTTGATGGCTCCAAGCACCAGTAGAGCTATGTTAGGGCCAAACGGTGTAGTGACAAGCCGGTGGTGCTGTTGTTTTTAAAAAAACTTGTAATGACCTGTAGTTTAGAGAGAGCGAGGATTTTTTTTCAAATGTGCATTGCATTCACCTTCCAAAAACTAGGGTAAATTTAAAATTTTATTTTGAATGTAGGAGTTAGATTCAGATCTAAATTTGGGCATGACCTTTGCTCATTTTCAAGTATTAGGATCACAACCAAATAAGTTATGAGTTAAGGACTAAAATGCATAAAGTACAACTCAAATAATTGAATTGGCAATATAATTAAAAAATGAATTTTAAAATTATAATAATTTATAATTGAATTCCTATTACAAAGTCATCATACAAAAGTTGATACAAAAAATAATAAAGAAAGGAAATGGAAAAAGACCTAAGCTAAAACTAAACAAGATCCTATTTTAGTTATTCTCCTTCTTCCTGTTCTTTTCTTCTTCATGAACTCAAACCTACACCAGAAAGAACAAAAAGAAAGAAGTTGATTATGTTAAAATGTTGCATTCCCATCTGGGAAAGGCATTTGCTATATGAACTAGTGTATTAGGAAATCTAGAACTGGTCCAAATTCCTACAAAGTGTAGTTCCTAAGAAATCCAGTAAGAGCCAATAAGAGGTGGAAAGGATTGACCAATGAATAGTGTAGTGAGCATAGGTTCAACGGGGAACGAGAACGAGGAGATGGTACTTCAACAGGATCAATTTATCAAGCAGAACAATGTCCAACAAGAGATCAAAGAGGAACCTAGAGCCAGTAAGCAAATGACCAAAGCCAGAGAAGCAAGTATAGTCTCAAGGCAGGGTAGAGAGAGAGAGAGAGAGAGAGAGCGAGAGAGAGAGAGAGAGAGAGAGAGAAGAGAGAATGAGAGGGGGGGGTGAGGGTTGGCTCAGGCTAAGGCTTTGCCTCCTCAGCTGGCAAGGCCAATTGGCCAATGGGCAAATGCCTATTAGGCCAATAGACTAGACCCACTAAACCTTCTTAATTTATTAAAACCATAATAAAAATTAACAGAACTAAATAAAATAATTACATGGATCAATAGATTATATAAAAATGTTCATCATCTTCAAAATAACATACTTAATTTAGTAAAAGTGGTTCCAACATTTTTGTACAATCATTATTAAATACATAGAACAATTTTTTAAACAAATAAGAAAAAATAATTCAATCTAT